CCCCCTTTTATATTATTCTGCCGGCGCCCTTGCCTCATATACAAGATTTACAATGCAGCAAGGCCATCTTGTGATTCAAAATGAAACTATTTCTACTTTTTTTTCAGGGGGGGGGCTACGTTAGGAGCACTGACCACTTTTGGCTCACCCATCTTACTTAATCAAAACTTATTAAATTAAAAACAAAATTTAATGATTATTAGTGACTTCCTTGGGTTTGTCTTGCAGAGCAAAAGTTTTTCGAAAGAAGGCTTAATATTAGAAATAGCCACTCTAAGTTCTTTTTCTATATTTAGCCGAGATCTATAATTTGTCTTCAAAGAAGTCACAGCAGAAAATCCAGTTTCACAAGGTAGGATGTTGACAATGGTAATAGAATCTGGAATGCCTTTTTTTTAGTGCAGAAAAATCATCCTCTACTTCAGCCAAAAATTCAAATAGTGATTTATTACTAAATTGTCTTTTGGTTTCGCCACTTGTCGTGAAGTCTATGAATTTTGCTTCCTCATCATTTGAGAGTCCTTCGGGAGTCTTATAAAATGAATCCCTAACCCACTCATAACTTGCTATCAGTTTGTTGTCAGCAGGATAATACTTTTCAAAATTCTTTGCCAACAAGGCTAAATGATTTTCAATTATTACAAAAACAACTTTTACATGTTCTTCTTCAGCCTTGCAAGATTTAGTGCAATCATCCACATTTGCAAACATTGTTAGGATTTTTAATATTGTTAGGTTCCCTTAAATTTCTGCCCCCCAATTCCAATTTTCTACATAAAGCATTTACTTATTCACTCGTATACAACATATGTGTATTTCCTTCTTGGAGTTGAAAATTCAAGTTATTTAATTTCTCGAATATGACGACCTAGTTGTTCAAATTCATCACAAATAAACCATCGCGGAAATTCTCGTATTCCGGTCTGTTATTTTCCAGGAAAATTGCGATTTCTTCTCTTAATTCATGAATACGTTACAAAAATTTCTCACGTGATAAACGTCTTGCCTCGCAATTAAATAGTAAAGCTGACTGTACTGAACCCATTTCTTAAGAAAGTGCGAAAAAAAGATTATGGATTTCAGGGGTCTCATTTTTATATAATTCACTGCGGTTACAACCGTAGTTAACACAATATTCAAACCAGGACTCATTTCTTTCGAAGCCAAAACTTCTCCGTGGATCATGCAATGTGTCCAGACGCATTGAGGCGATTTTCGCTTAACAAGCACTTGTATACTTTGGAATCTTTCGGACATTGAACGAGTACCATCGGTGCATATTTCGACGCAATTTTTCCATTCTATGTTTGCCTCATTCAAGAAATTATTTAAAATAGCAAATAATGTGAGCGCTGTTGTTTTGAGTTCGATTGGTTTGCAGAAAAGTAGTTCTTTTACTACTGACATTATATCGCAAAACAGAACATAGGCAATTGAATGAGCATCTTTACTACTATCTGTTGCTTCATCAAGCTACATTGAAAACAATTTGTCACGTAACTTCGAGAAAAGCTGACACTTCAGCTACATCACCTATTTGTCGAGCTGCAGTATCATTTGAAAGAGGTATGAACTGTAATTGTTTAGAAAAATTATTTCCAAACATAGTTTCTACAATCTCAATTGCTGCTGGCTTTTACCTAACTTTTGTTTTGGCAGTTAATTAAAAATAATTTAAAGACAGAATCCAAAATACTCCATTGTTGTATACATTTTATTGAGTGCTGAGGGAGCGATGAAAATTATGATTGAAAACTGGACCTCGAATACTGAAAGGTTGAGAAACACTGCCTTACTCGAATTCCTCATAATATTGAAGCAAACCAAACAACTGAATCGTTCTTATTTCTCAGTTAGATTTGACTTGAGAGTAACGTAAACCTAATAAACGTGTTTGATATACAAAAAAATAATAATAAAAATAGATCAGATATTCTTTACACAATGTTTCGTGTTACTAATAAATATCAAGAAAAGGGTAAAGAAATTATTCTGATGAATTTACATATTTTTTTAATGCATAATGTATACTTTTAAATTATTTATTCTTTCAAAAAATTAAACCTAATAAACGTGTTTGATATACAAAAAGAATAAAAATAAAAATAGATCAGATATTATTTACATAATGTTTCATGTTACCAATAAGTATCAAGAGAAGGATGAAGAAATTATTGGAGGAATTTACATATTTTTTTAATGTATAATGTATATTACTAAATTACTTATTCTTTCAAAAAATTAGATAAAATTTTACAAATAAGAATTGAGCCTTAGATAATTTAAAAATTTTAAAGTAGAAACGAGAACTTAATAACATATTATATTTTCTTTGGAAGCATAAAATAAACAAACTGAAAGAGAATACACCAGTAACATACTTCAAAGCATTAATCCAGCAAAAATTTTCATGGTATTGAATTTTTAATGTATGCAGAAGATTTCATAAGGCAATTGACGATATTTAAAGGCACGCAAAAGGAAAACTAACATCTGTTGAAAGAGACATTACTTATCTTTTCTCGATAATATGTAGTTATCTGTGATTTTCTTTTTACTTCTGCTTGAGATTGAGAATTCCAGATTTTGCACACCACAATCCCTTACCTTATTATATAGAAATTCAAATTAGCGAGCAAGATTCTAAATAGTCTGAACGCATTACAGTTAACCCTCGTAATCTAAGATACACTCTTTTAATGCAAGCATACAGAAAAAGAATAATTATTTTAAAAGATTGGGATAACATCAGGAGTTGAGATGATAACAAAAATTAACAGCTATTTTTGCATTTAATGCTAACTTTGAAATTTGCATTTTTAAAGTAGGAAGTCGGAAATTACATCCCTAAAAGTTTACTTTTAGAACATCCCTAAAGGCTTATTTTCATCGCTACAAAAATATTAAAACTTTCCTAGAAAGTTATATCTCAAACGTAAATTTATAAAAAAAAATATTCGCATCAATTGAAATATAAGAAAGTTATGAAGTTTTTAAAGTGAAGGCTTTAAATTAATTCAAATCGTGTTATTTTTTTCAATTCAGTAAATTTTTAGAAAATTGTGAATAGATTAGTAGTTTCCACCCGCACTCGATTACACTTGTCAACTATCTGAGATTGCTACACAATCTTGTATGATTCGTTTTGAGGTGAATCAAACTACATTCGTTCCTTCCACAAGTTAATTCTGTTTTTAATGTCGCCTAGATTTTGAAAACATAAATAATTTCAGAAATTTCATAATAAGGAAAATAATCTCTTTTTTTTTTACCCCAAAAGTAAGCATCACAGGTATTACATATTTCTATTATTGGTATTTTTTTTTCAAACTCTTAGTTATCAAACTTTACTATTTTAACATCTAAATATTTTAGCCACTAAAAATGTAGACCGTAAAAACTTTATCACTTTAAATTATTGGTCACTGAAATTTGTATTATTATTATTATATTATTATTAAGCATTTTGCCGACCGGCCTGTGTAGGGGGCAAGGAACAGTCCTTGCATCAGAAGGGTCCTGGATACGAATCCCGGGCAAGCATGGATGTTTCTTTCTCTCTCTGTGTGTTCTATGTCCTTTCTCCTTTGTGTGTGAATGTGACCCGCCCTATAAGCGGGTTGTGGTAGTGTGAATGGCGTGGCAGAAGTCGAATTCCTAGCCATAGATGGCGCCACTGAAAAACAGGAACAATCGCTCCCCACTGCCTAAACAAGCATACGACAAAAAAAAATTAAACTTTTCTCAAATACTTCAATTAAACACTTTTCTAATGAATGTTAGAAACAAAATTAAATCTTCATTCGCCATTATGTAACGTAGCAAAAATTCTTACCAAACCTCTGTCAGATAGCTTTCATGCCTCAAAATAAAAAATTTTTTTTAATTAAATTTTTTTTAAAAGAGTATGCTGTTCTTAGATTATATCAGCTTCTCGGAGATGAGATTTTGCTGTATGGAAGAGGATTGGGCTGCCATGCTCAAATGGTAAAGTATTCTGATTGTAGCGTTTACAATCTGAGTGTGGTGATAAGTTGTGCTAGAGATGCAACGAAGGGCGTAATTTTTTTTCCAACATTTTTTCTTCAGGTATTGAAAGCGGCAGAGGAAATGGTTATTGATTGCATTAGATTATAATCTTTTATAGTAAAACAAATAAGTTTTAAAGGAATTTACTCATTGTTTAAATTGCAGAGCTGTGGGGGGGGGACTCTAAGCGCAGAGGGTGGTATGCATACACTGCTGAAAGTCATAAGTTTTAAGCATTATGTTGTGTGTACCAAAGAACTACCCGAGTATTCAAAATATCAGTTAAAGGGTGAAAAGAATATGCATATGTACGATTTATTGCAAGACGCATATGTACGATTTATTGCATAGAAAACTTGATTATGTATTTATTTTCAAATAATTTCAAAACTATACTCTGTTGCATGTTAAGAGAAAACCATTATTCTTATGTAGAGAGCCTGTTTGCATATAAGTGCATGCTAAATAGAAGTTAAGCTCACAGCACGAACGAATATCAACATCGCCTACTTTTGAAACAACCTAACACGTCCTTCATTTTGATTATAAACAATAGCACAAACTAAATTTTTGTCCGACGAGTTTACTTTTTAAAATATTTTATATTGTTTTGAAAGCATAATTATATAATTTGACAGCTGGATAACTTAAAATCCTATACCGCAATGGTCCTTTTTTTTAAACTTGCAACGAAGCATTAGATGATAAAAAACTGTAAATAAGTGTTTTTAAAAGAATATTACAATTTGTTAAACTAACAGATACCCATTATAACTAACATGTTATAACGGGTATCTATTTTAACTAGCAAGTTATAACGGGTATCTGTTATAACTGGTGTCTGTAGGTTATAACTAGCAGATACCCGTACAAAAATATCATTTACAGTTCTTATCATGCGACAGAAAATATTGTGATATTGCTCGTGTATTCAACTGTACCATCTGTAGACTGAGATTTGTAACCTAATTTTAAAGTTTATGAGAACGTAACTATTTTCATAAACAGAATGCTGCAAAATGTGCATTATTATTTCGTTTTTTTTTAAGTGATCTTTTAATTGATCTTCATTGGAGCTTCTATGGAAAATCTGAAATTCAAGAAATTAACAGTACATTTTATGTAGATTTTAGTACGTTTAATTTAGTTAATACATGAGGATTTTTGTAGAGGATTTTCAAGATCCGTAAAATTATGGCAATATGGTGCATATTCCTTTTTGGACTTCAGCATATTGCTCCACAACATATTTAAATGCTTCTTTTGTTCTAACAGTGCATTTTTCAAATTTTTCATACATGCAATTTTTTAATCCATCGATGTGCCTGAAAAAAAAAGAGTCATATTAACCAACGAGTTAAATTATAAAGCAGATCAACAAAGTTAAGAAATGGATGAGTTTTGACCCGAAGTGTTTTTCAAGTTGCGAAACTCTTAACAAAGCGAAATAAGAATGTCACTTTTATGTATATAGTTGACATACCAAATACTAAAACAAAATTTCTTATTTTTGCTCTACGTATTTTGACAAAGAGTTTTTTTTTCTTCAGTGTTCTATATTAATTAAAATGACATTGTTTTCATACTATTGTAAAAAGGAGGCGTTGAAATATTTTCCAGCATGGATGTGACGTATATGTTACCGGCAAAGTATGAAATCCGGCATTATGTATAATACCTAGGCATTATAGACAATGCCTAAAACTAGCCGGAAAAGTATGAATTGATTTACAATTCACAAATGTCCTAGGCATTATATATAATGCCAGATGCTATTTAGGCAAAGTATGAGATAAACTTCCTGATGAGGTTATTATGTAAATGATGTGCATGTTATTATGAATGACCGAAATCGGTGGTTGTTGACTTTCACCGGTGAATGTTGACAATCAAATTAGTCGCTTTGATGAATGTCCGAAATATTTATTACATCCGATTTGATATTAATTTATTCGTGAATATAATTACATTTATTCGATATTTTAATACTTACTGACGATAGATTAGAAGAAACATCAGTGTTTGGAGTATCTGGCAAATGTATACCAGGCAATGGGACTTATCTAGACCAAGTATATATGTCGGACATTTACCGACGGTCTAGTCATACTAGGTCTAGTTAAGTGCCATTTCCCGGTATACCCTACCCTACACTGATGTTTTTTTAAGGTCAAGTGCCATTGCCCGGTATACCATTGCCCGATACTCCAAACACTGATGTTTCTTCTAATCTATCGTCAGTAAGTATTAAAATATCGAATAAATGTAATTACATCCACGAATAAATTAATATCAAATCGGATGTAACAAATATTTCGGACATTCACCAAAGTGACTATGTGATTGTCAACATTCAGCTTCTTTAAAACAAAACAAAAAACATTCCATATCCATTTTCCGAATACCCCTCTAGGGTAGATTGGGATTCTAATTAGATGTGAAATAAAAGTATTACACTGTTAAAATTTTCATTCTAAAATTATGGTAAAATAAATGGCAGCTGTCTGTTCATCCGATTAACCGTNACAAAAAGAATAAAAATAAAAATAGATCAGATATTATTTACATAATGTTTCATGTTACCAATAAGTATCAAGAGAAGGATGAAGAAATTATTGGAGGAATTTACATATTTTTTTAATGTATAATGTATATTACTAAATTACTTATTCTTTCAAAAAATTAGATAAAATTTTACAAATAAGAATTGAGCCTTAGATAATTTAAAAATTTTAAAGTAGAAACGAGAACTTAATAACATATTATATTTTCTTTGGAAGCATAAAATAAACAAACTGAAAGAGAATACACCAGTAACATACTTCAAAGCATTAATCCAGGAAAAAATTTTCATGGTATTGAATTTTTAATGTATGCAGAAAATTTCATAAGGCAATTGACGATATTTAAAGGCACGCAAAAAGAAAACTAACATCTGTTGAAAGAGATATTACTTATCTTTTCTCGATAATATATAGTTATCTATGATTTTCTTTTTACTTCTGCTTCAGATTGAGAATTCCAGATTTTGTTACCCACAAACCCTTACTTTATTATATAGAAATTCAAATTAGCTTACAAGATTCTAAATAGTCTGAACGCATTACAGTTAACCCTCGTAATGTAAGATACACTCTTTTAATGCAAGCATACAGAAAAAGAATAATTATTTCATAAGCTTGGGTTAAAATCAGGATTTGAGATGATAACAAAAATTAACAGCTCATTTTGCATTTAATGCTAACTTTGAAATTTACATTTTCAAAGTAGGAAGTCGGAAATTACATCCCTAAAAGTTTATTTTCATCGCTACAAAAATATTAAAACATTCCTAGAAAGTTATATCTCAAACGTAAATATATATAAAAAAAATTCGCATCAATTGAAACATAAGGAAGTTATGAAGTTTTTAAAGTGAAGGCTTTAAATTAATTCAAATCGTGTTATTTTTTTCAATTCAGTAAATTTTTAGAAAATTGTGAATGGATTAGTAGTTTCCACCCGCACTCGATGACGCTTGCCAACTATCTGAGATTGCTACACAATCTTGTATGGTTCGTTTTGAGGTGAATCAAATTATACATTCGTTCCTTACACAAGTTAATTCTGTTTTTAATGTCGCCTAGATTTTGAAAACATAAATAATTTCAGAAATTTCATAATAAGAAAAATAATCTCTTAATTTATTTTTCTTTTTTCCCCAAAAGTAAGCATCACTTGTATTACATATTTCTATTATTGGTATTTTCTTTTTTTTTCCTTCAAACTCTTACTTATCAAACTTTACAATTTTAACTTCTAAATATTTTAGCCACTAAAAATGTAGACCGTAAAAACTTTATCACTTTAAATTATTGGTCATTGAAATTGGTATTATTATCATTATATTATTACTAAGCATATTTCCGACCGGCCTGTGTAGGGGACAGAGAACTGTCCTTGCATCAGAAAGATCCTGGGCTCGAATCCCGGGCAAACATGGATGTTTCTTTCTCTCTCTGTGTGTTCTATGTCCTTTCTCCTTTGTGTGTGAATGTGACTCGCCCTATAAGCGGGTTGTGGTTGTGTGAATGGCGTGGCAGAAGTCGAATTCCTAGCCATAGATGGCGCCACTGAAAAACAGGAACAATCGCTCCCCACTGCCTAAACAGGCATACGACAAAAAAAAAATTAAGCACTTCTCAAATACTTCAATTAAACACTTTTCTAATGAACGTTAGAAACAAAATTAAATCTCCATTCGCCATTATGTAACTTAGCAAAAATTTTCCGTGCTCTTGCCAAACCTCTGTCAGATAGCTTTCATGCCTCAAAATCAAAATTTTTTTTTAATTAAATTTTTTTAAAAAAAGTATGCTGTTATTAGATTATTTCAGCTACTCGGAGATGAGATTTTGCTGTATGGAAGAGGATTGGGCTGCCATGCACAAATGGTAAAGTATTCTGATTGTAGCGTTTACAATCTGAATGTGGTGATAAGTTGTGCTAGACATGCAACGAAGGGCGTAATTTTTTTTCCAAATTTTTTTCTTCAGGTATTGAAAGCGGCAGAGGAAATGGTTATTGATTGCATTAGATTATAATCTTTTATAGTAAAACAAATAAGTTTTAAAGGAATTTGCTCATTGTTTAAATTTTAGAGCTGTGGGGGGGGACTCTAAGCGCAGAGAGTGGTATGCATACACTGCTGAAAGTAATAAGTTTTAAGCATTATGTTGTGTGTACCAAAAACTACCCGAGTATTCAAAATATCAGTTAAAGGGTGAAAAGAAGATGCATATGTACGATTTATTGCATAGAAAACTTGATTATGTATTTATTTTCAAATAATTTCAAAACTATACTCTGTTGCAAGTTAAGAGAAAACCATTATTCTTATGTAGAGAGCCTGTTTGCATATAAGTGCATGCTAAATAGAAGTTAAGCTCACAGCACGAACGAATATCAACATCGCCTACTTTTGAAACAACCTAACACGTCCTTCATTTTGATTATAAACAATAGCACAAACTAAATTTTTGTCCGACGAGTTTACTTTTTAAAATATTTTATATTGTTTTGAAAGCATAATTATATAATTTGACAGCTGGATAACTTAAAATCCTATACCGCAATGGTCCTTTTTTTTAAACTTGCAACGAAGCATTAGATGATAAAAAACTGTAAATAAGTGTTTTTAAAAGAATATTACAATTTGTTAAACTAACAGATACCCATTATAACTAACATGTTATAACGGGTATCTATTTTAACTAGCAAGTTATAACGGGTATCTGTTATAACTGGTGTCTGTAGGTTATAACTAGCAGATACCCGTACAAAAATATCATTTACAGTTCTTATCATGCGACAGAAAATATTGTGATATTGCTCGTGTATTCAACTGTACCATCTGTAGACTGAGATTTGTAACCTAATTTTAAAGTTTATGAGAACGTAACTATTTTCATAAACAGAATGCTGCAAAATGTGCATTATTATTTCGTTTTTTTTTTAAGTGATCTTTTAATTGATCTTCATTGGAGCTTCTATGGAAAATCTGAAATTCAAGAAATTAACAGTACATTTTATGTAGATTTTAGTACGTTTAATTTAGTTAATACATGAGGATTTTTGTAGAGGATTTTCAAGATCCGTAAAATTATGGCAATATGGTGCATATTCCTTTTTGGACTTCAGCATATTGTTCCACAACATATTTAAATGCTTCTTTTGTTCTAACAGTGCATTTTTCAAATTTTTCATACATGCAATTTTTTAATCCATCGATGTGTCTGAAAAAAATAGTCATATTAACCAACGAGTTAAATTATAAGCAGATCAGCAAAGTTAAGAAATGGATGCGTTTTGACACGAAGTGTTTTTTAAGTTGCGAAATTCTTAACAAAGCGAAATAAGAATGTCACCTTTATGTATATAGTTGACATACAAAATACTAAAACAAAATTTCTTATTTTTGCTCTACGTATTTTGACAAAGAGTTTTTTTTTCTTCAGTGTTCTATATTAATTAAAATGACATTGTTTTCATACTATTGTAAAAAGGAGGCGTTGAAATATTTTCCAGCATGGATGTGACGTATATGTTACCGGCAAAGTATGAAATCCGGCATTATGTATAATACCTAGGCATTATAGACAATGCCTAAAACTAGCCGGAAAAGTATGAATTGATTTACAATTCACAAATGTCCTAGGCATTATATATAATGCCAGATGCTATTTAGGCAAAGTATGAGATAAACTTCCTGATGAGGTTATTATGTAAATGATGTGCATGTTATTATGAATGACCGAAATCGGTGGTTGTTGACTTTCACCGGTGAATGTTGACAATCAAATTAGTCGCTTTGATGAATGTCCGAAATATTTATTACATCCGATTTGATATTAATTTATTCGTGAATATAATTACATTTATTCGATATTTTAATACTTACTGACGATAGATTAAAAGAAACATCAGTGTTTGGAGTATCGGGCAAATGTATACCAGGCAATGAGACTTAACTAGACCAAGTATATATTTCGGACATTTACCGAAGGTCTAGTCATACTAGGTCTAGTTAAGTGCCATTTCCCGGTATACATTTGCCCGGTATACCCTACACTGATGTTTTTTTAAGGTCAAGTGCAATTACCATTGCCCGGTATACCATTGCCCGATACTCCAAACACTGATGTTTCTTCTAATCTATCGTCAGTAAGTATTAAAATATCGAATAAATGTAATTATATCCACGAATAAATTAATATCAAATCGGATGTAACAATTATTTCGGACATTCATCAAAGTGACTATGTGATTGTCAACATTCACCGGTGAAAGTCAACAACCACCGATTTCGGTCATTCACAGTAACATGCACATCATTTACATAATAACCTCATCAGGACGTTTATCTCATACTTTGCCTAAATAGCATCCGGCATTATATATAATGCCTAGGCAAAGTATGTAATATTTCTCATATTTCATACTTTGATAAAAATGTCAGGCATTATATATAATGTAGGCATTTCATACTTTGCCGGTAACATATATACTAATAAATGCTTCGTTTAAAATAAATAAATAAATAAATTTTTACTTAACACCTAACTTCATTATAAAATCATAATATAATTTTAATACTTTATGTCTAACATCATTATAACAACATTAATTATTTAATACTTTGTGTCCAACGCCATTATAACATCATTAATATTCCGTAATACTAGATGTTAAACGTAACTACCCACTGCAAAAATATCAGATCAGATCACATTATAAAGTACTAGATTTATTTGCTTGCACCAATTGTAAAATACATTTTAACCGTAAAATATTATGCAGTTGTTTCTGCCGCAATATTTATTTGATTATAGTGATTTAATGATTTGGCAGCAAATATTACTGTGAAAGTTGAAGCATATAATTTTTTTCCCATAATATGTTCCGTTACAAACGGATTTTACGGCAAAAAGTACCGGACCTTTGAGCACTAATACTTTTTAACGTAATTTGTTCCAGAGTTTCTTACAGTGTACTCGTGAAGCTTTGCGTCTGGAAATGCTTTAAATTGTGTCTATTTCCTTTCTTGATTTCTTATTGATTCGATTAAATTTAATTTTAATTAAAAACATTTGAGTTCCGCCCCACTCGTTACACATTAGAGGCTGAATTCAGTTTCTTTAGTAGTGAAAAATGTTTCGTTTTACTAAATTTTATTCCATAGACATAGTTATAGGGTAAACCAACCAGTGAAGGAACATTTCATATATATTGATTAAAAATAAGATTTTGAAAGTTTTTCTTTTGATTGATTGGTAAAAATAGCTTACTGCCAAACAACAGGTCATCTAACAATCATCTAACAATGTATTGGATTATCTGGTCACATAGTGTTCTCTGGAAAAAATTTTGAATTTGTTTCTATCTGTGCAACACCCTGTTTCTGTGATAATTTTATAAGGTGAGTGCTTGTATTTATCTGTTTAAAGTGGAATTAATTGTATGTAGTAATTTTATTTTTCTCACTGTGAAAAAGAGAATTCAAAATATAGTTATCAAAGTTACGTTTATTTATTTTAAGCATAGCATAAGCAAGTACTGAGATAAAGGGGTGTTTATTTACTGGATTACCAAACGGTGAAAAACCAGTGAAGGAAGAAGTGTTCCTTCACTGAGTTTTTCTCTAAGTTAATGAAAATAAAAGGTAAACTTTAATTTTCTTGTACCTTTAGTGATGTTCCGCATCAAAAGTATGTTAAAAATACGAAAAACAACTTCTAACCAGTGAGGGAACAGGCACGTTCCTTTACTGGGCATAGATTTCTCAGTGAATGTACAGTGTGTGTTAATATGTTGACACTTTAATTTTCAGTTCATGATTACCAAAAAAGTTAACATTTTTCAAGTATTTATATGCTATAATTTCAATAATAGGCTTGTTTTTAAATATTTGTATGGCTTTTAAATTCATAAAGAGCATTAAAAAATAACCAAAATTAAGTGTTCCTTTACAGGGAAATTTTGTGTTCATTCACTGGTGAGAACTGTTCCTTCGCTTAGTCTTCTTATTACTTGCTATTTGAATCTCCAAAACTTTAAAACAATATTATACAAGTTCTCTACAATGTTTTTTACATAATTTGCAATTAGTAGCAAATATGTTGACACCGTCATTTAACTAAAATTACGAATTTTGAAATTATTATGATTTTTTAAAAGGCAAGCGAAGCTTAAGTGCTCCTTCATTGGTTAGTTTACCCTAGAATATTTAGTTGCATTTAAAATGCTGATTAGGGATATTTTTTAAACACAGATCAAATTTTTTATTTTTAACGATTTTAAAAATCTTTTAAGTAATAGTTAGAAAAAATAACAGCAACGATAGTTTCCTAGAAGCTGTTTCATGGGAAAAACACAGTTTTAATTCAATGTTAAGTGGTTAACGTAAAATATTACACGTTAAAAATGGATTTTAAGATAAAATGGTTTTTACTGCACAAAAGTGACAGTACTTTATACAGTAAATTTATGCCGGACTTTAACCGAAAGTTTTTACAGTGTAAGCTTTTTCTCCTTTACATAGTTAAAATAAATAAGGTCAGTGTGTCTAAATGTGGCATTCCCCAAATACGACGATGTTCAGTTACGTTAAATTCTAATTCATGAATCCTCTGTAAATGCAATGGATAGAAAATTTCGTATCTTTGGAGTATATCCCGATTCATTTCCACACTTTAAAAGCCGTTTTTAATGGACAATTTCTCGTCGCGATTTCATCACTTATTTTTATTAGCATCACTTATTTTTATGGAGACGGTTTTTCCCGAAATGGAGGTTACTATCGCCGGATAGCTATCACAGGTGATAAGACCTCGTCCACAGCACTGCATTGACTATCATTTTAATCTGCTCCAAGAAAAAAAGGGAAAAGACTACTTGCATTAGAATTAGAGGAGTTGTAAAATTACTGTCGCATTTAACGCCTGATTCCTCGAGTGAACCTAAAGACAGTTTGAAGTCCTTAAATGCGACGTTGTCTTTTGCAACATTTCCAGAGATATATGTCGATTACAGCGACCGATAACATCTATAAGTTTTTCCATATAATTACTACTATGTGATCAGTTACCTAAAATTGCAATTACAAGTAATTGCATGAAACCACGATGTCTGATATGTAAGGATGATTAAATGCAGTCAGAACAAGAAACGATTGCAGGTATCTGATCAAAATATAAGATTACATCCTATCATGATTTCCATTTATCAAAAGATGTGACAGCAAATAATCATGATTATTTGTTATCGTGATTACATGTAATCATGATTGCAAGCTATCAAAGTGTACGATAACAAATAACTACGATTAGCCGTTATAAACTAACAATTGCAAATAATATAATGTGCGATTACAGTATGAATTCTAATAATAATATTAATAACTTTTGACCTAATGATTGTCGTAATCTCGTTATAGGACTCAATCATATTGGCTCGAGAGGTAACCTCAAATATGCTAATTAATCAGTGCAGACTGTAATTTAAGTAATGAAATCAGATAAAACAAACGTTCTTTCTCTGGATAAACATATCTTTATTTTGACGGATTTGGATTTCTGCCCCCCNCCCCCCCCCCCCCAAAAAAAGCATATATAGTAGTCGCAATGTGGGAAATATGGTCCCAATAGTTTGGTCAGGATGGGGCTCATAAGTTTGGAACCTTTAATGTTAACTTAACTATGTGTATATTTCGCTATATCTTGGGAACTTAAATGAACTGAAAAATTTTTGGACTCAATTATAAAATTCATTTATCCAAAGATAGTTTCATGCAAAAAAATTAATTTTAGTAAATATCTTTTTATATTTTTTTATATAGTAATATTTTATATATTTTATATATAATAATATTTATATAGTAATATTTATGTAGTAATACTTATGTACAATATTTTATATATTTTATACATAGTAATATTTATATAGTATTATTTTATACAGTAATAAAGTTTGAACTAAAAGGTAAAAAAAAAATTTTTGCGTCATTTTAAAGTACGTAATTTTAAATGGCAAAGTAAAATATTCGACAGAAATTGGTTGAATAGTTCCTGAGAAATCAAATTTTTAAATATACGACTTTTTAAAATTCGTTAAGCAAGAAAAATTTGTGCAGAGCTGATGTCGTAATACTTCCGCCATTTTCGGTGAAAAAATCTCATAAAAAGTCACGTTTGGCCTAAATGCGACGAAATTATGTAAAATCATGTCGCATATAGGCACTCTGAATTTAATTACTTTTGGTCAAAAATATTATTGTGCTGGTAAATAATTTTACCTATGAGAAAATATTGCTGCATCCAAGATTTCAGCTGCATCCAAGAAAAAGCAGAAAAGTTATTTATTTGCTTATAACAATTCGGAAATGATGTGATGTAAAACAGAAACCATGCATTAGCTTATAAATCATTAAAGATTATTGACAAAGTCTTCGTTTAAAAGTTAATCGTCCTTTTGTGGCTAAAAAAAATTGAACGCATTGAGAATTAAGTATGACCAGGGGTCTGTTCAGAAGAAATTTGAGTTCATTAACGGACCCTTTAAAAAAATATCTTTTCTTAAAAACGGACCCTTCACACAATATTTCAACTTAAAAACGGACCCTTCACAAAATAATTTATCTTTTAATCGGACCCTTCACAAATTTGTTTATCTTCATTATTGTTTTGTTAGTCGAATAAACCCTTCCCAGGAAGGGGGGGGGAAGAAAGACAGATGTAAACGAACTAAGTTTTGTCTTCGGCGGACGCTTCTTCCATTATTCGTCCGAAATGAATATTCTGTGTTCAGAAGTATAGTCTAAATAACAAATATTTGTATATTGCACTTCTAATTTAGAAGCAGCAATTGCTGTTTATTTTTGAAAATAAAATTTAATTTTACCGTGTTGAGCATAATCTTGTATGTCTTTACAATTTAAAAACTCATTGAAAAAGTTTTTTGCAATAACAGGACCCTATTTGCACAAATTCACAAAAGCAGGACCCTGGTTGAAAGAATGTGACTTAACCTTTATTTTATATTCACAAATTACCAGTAATTTTTCACAATTTTACAAAAACGGACCTTTCACGAAATGTCTGGACAGACCCCTGATGACAATCTTATATAAAACAAAAAAACATTCCATATCAATTTTCCGAATACCCCTCTAGGGTAGATCGGGATTCTAATTAGATGTGAAATAAAAATATTACACTGTTAAAATTTTCATTCTAAAATTATGGTAAAATAACTGGCAGCTGTCTGTTCATCCTATTAACCGTAAAGTTTACGGTAAAGAACAATTTTTTTCCTTTACGGTTTTGAAACCATTTACAAAAAGTATGGTTATAAAACCATACAGTTTTTTTTAACCATTTACAACTACCATTTTTCAAGAACGCATAAAAATTAATTATTTAACTAGACATAGGAGCTCGAATTTTCGTAAGGTAATGGGCATTGGAGAGTGCCGGACACTGGAAATTCTTCATGTGTTGAAGGGAATGGAGGAAATATTGGGGTGTCAACACTAGGACTCGAACTCCAGTTCTGTCGGTCATGAGATTGACAGATAACCCCGTTCGGCTATGATATGTACGCAGTAGCAAAGATCTAAGTAGCTTTATTAGGTGGTTCTAGTTAGTGCTATAAAATTCTGGTTGCTTAACCGTATTAGGTGAAAGCAGTTAATAAGCAGTTTTTCTCAAACTTAACAGTTTGATTACCATCTTATTGATGGTTATTTGACTGTTTTGATTAAATATGGAAAAATAACCATTCAATAAATTGTTATTAAGCCATTTTTTCCGAGAAATTTCTAGCAGAGTACAGTCATCGTGTTTTCAAATTCTATGCAAATGTTAAAGGCAGGGTAAAAAGAATTTCAAAAATATCTATTGATTTCCACTCGTATGCAAAGTTTTCGAAAAATTGCATTTAATTATTTATTTTATTAAAAAAATCAATTAAATGAAAAAAAATATGTGACTTAATTTTTAAAAATATGGAAATAATGTTATGCATAATTTCCATAACTACACATTTATAACGAATATTATATTTTTTTCCGATTAAAATTTCGGAAATATAATGCGAAACTTTCAGAAATCTCAATCAGATTTTTAAGAATTCTGAAAGTTCATGCAATAAACATTGAACAAATAATTACCGGCAAATAGCCCTCATAATTTCAGTGATATCACTAAAGGGTTCACTTTTTGGTTCCTTTTTCATCTCATCAGCACATGCGTCGATATCAGTCAGAGTTTCTAAACTGCATTTTGGATCAGATTTTGTAGCTATAATAATAAAAATTATAATTATTTGAATTGTTCTTAAATCATTACCATTTTGCTTAAAATATTGATTTTAATATAAATTAAACTAAATTAACTCAACGAAGAAACAAAAAGTATTAAACACGAAGTTTAATTTATAAATAAACGTAATGTTTAAGGGAAGTTACATTTCAAATTAGACTAAATTGAAAAATATATTTACTTAACGAATTCAGTAAAATGAAGATGCTTTTTTTTAATTTCAAGAACAAAATGATTCCTTGAGCATCACTGATAAAGTACAAATCGAAGCTTAGAGCCTTAAGTATGGTAGCAAACAATGTAGGATTATTAAGCAGAAAAACATACAAAAGGGCATGTAAAATTTAGGAAAGAAAAATAATAAAAAAAAGAAAAAAGAATAAAAATAATAAGCATAAAAAACATTCGCAAAAAGGATGGGAAAAAATAAAAATAAACGTAGAATAAAAAGAATATGCTTAGGAAGTAGGAACAAAAATAATTTATATTTCTCGCAAAAATACAGTCTTGTAGAGTCTAAATTTATTTCAATATACGCAAACACATAATTTAACAACCTTCACTACTGAAATCAATCGGCATGAAACTTTTCAAACGTACTGTCTCTGTCCTTTCGAATAAAATCTACCTAAATTGCTTTGAGAAAGCAAAGTATGGTCAAAACTACCAGAATATGGTAAAATTTATCGTGATTCTGACTCTATGGGAGATCCAAAAAATTCGGTAATTTTTACCGGGACGCTTTGATAGTGATTTTAGTAAAATGAAAAATAAAATTTGGTTTTATGATACTTGATAAAATTTGGCCACTTTATCACGATACATTTGAGCTTGATGTAAAAACCATTTATTCTGTTGAATTTATTTTTCAGTTTTGCATTTTTTTACTAAATGTGCTGTAATAAGAACTAAAATTTTAAAAACCGCTACCAAATGAATGGTTTAAATGCTGTATATTTTAGTTTTTATTGCCAGAATTGTTGCTTTTTTTTCCAGGATTTTTTTTCTCTGTGTATAAAAAAATCTCAATAAATTAGCATAAATTTATGCAAATTTAAAAAAAATTAAAATGAAGTATTTGTTTTATATGGTCAATGTATTATTTAAAATCAAAAGGAGTTAAACATTTCTGAAAATTGAAAAAAAAAACATGATTTTATTTAATAAAAGCTTTTTATCGATATCTATTTCGACTTTGTACCAACGTTCGATTTTCACTTATTTAATAAAAGAATAATTAGGTAAATTAATAATTAGGTAAATTAACAATTAGGTACATCAGCAACAATATTTTACAGATATTTTTTTTTCGTGTATAAATAAACTGCATTTTTATTAGAATGTTAGATTTAATTTATTCTAAGTTCAAAAATATGCTTAATAAAGAAAATTCAGTGGAACAAAAAAAAACACTACTAAAAAATTTTATATTTCTCACGATGATTTAGTTGCACAAATTGAATTAATTTTAATAAATGGTGTTTAATTGGAATCCTTAACTACTGAAATTCTATCAGCCTAAAAATTTTCGAAATTTAACTTAACAGGTAACTATGTAAATTATATCCAGTTACGTCGGCGAATCCTGTATTGCACTGAATAGCGGCATCGCGCTTGCACATTGCAACATTGCAACAAGTAAAGCATTTCTGATATATGATTATTATCATTATCCTAATTACTTATTATCATTATTAATTATTATATTTTTAATTATTAACATTATTAATTACTGTATTATTAATTATTATTAATTAGTATCATTATTAATTATCACATAATTAATAATTTTTAAATATTATAATATTAATTATTATTAATTTTATCATTATTAATTACTTATTATTTTTACGGGAATTTAGCATTTGATTTTTCTTAAAATTATTTTTATCATCGAAGTATGTAATTAAATGATCTTAATACTCGAAATAAATTAGTTTTATTCTTTTGAATAAAAACCTTAATATATTATACGTTATAATTTTTTTTCTTCCTTTTGCTTAAAAACTTCGTTGTCAATTTTTCAAAACTTAGAACTGGTCTAGGCACTTCCAAAACTGAAATACGAAAATAAATGCAGACCTGAAATCACTTCACATAATTTGAAAAATCGAATATCTCAGTTTTACTCAACTTTGTTAGTTAATAATTTTTAAAAGGGAGTCGGTATGGCATATACCAATAATGGAAAAACTGACCTTTTCCAATGTACCTTTTCTCAGCATCTAAGCAATATATTGCTTTATTTTTTTTGACAGCGTATTCGCATAAACATGCTCGCACTGTCATAATTTTTATTGCATGACTTTGGCAGAATTTTTTTAAGAGAAATTATGAACTGGAAACTTAAAAATTTTAATAACTTTTGAGCAAAAATCATTCGCAACTTAAAAAGTATTCCCGTTAAAGCTAAAACATTATCACAGCATACAACTGATATAATCTCAAACATCCCAAAAATAATTTCAAAGCTATATCATTAGTAGTTTCTTAGAAAAAGGTACATAGAAAAAGGTAAGTTTTAGCATTATTGATATATGCTCCACCGACTCCCCTTAAGCATTTAAAATATACGATTGGAAAGAAACTAAAACGTTTTTCAAAATACATTTTTAACAATATTATTATTTACCGTTATATGTTTCTGTTCCTTCCGTGCAGATGTTGGTAACAGCTACGTAAACTCTTTCCGCTACTCCAGCAAATCCTGTATTGCATTGAACAGCGGCATCTCGCATGCACATTGTAATAAGTAAATTATCTCTGAAGTAAGGAAGATATATTTTTATCATTATTAATTATGATCATTATTTAACATTTATTATTTTTACCATTATTTAAATTTCTATTTTTCTCAAAATTATTTCTATCATCGACGTAATTAAATGATCTTAATACTCGTAATTTATCATTTATTTATATATTTGGAGAAAAAAAAGACTTCAGACTTTAATTTAGTTTTTCCTTTTGCTTAAAATTTCTTTGACTGTTTTATGAAATTTAAAACCACTGAATTAAATATATTTACACGCAGCACTTTAGTTTCATATTTTTTTATTTAATTTTATTTCTTAGGTTCTTTGATGTTTAAAATTATTGTTTCTTTGGATAAATAATGATTAAAAGTAAAATATTTTATTTTTAACTTAAAAAATTATTTGTATCATGTAAATTAATGTAATTAATGAAATCTGAGATTGAAATGTGTTGATCAAACAGGTTTTAAGAAAATGAAATTAGAAAACAATTTTTAAAGTTTTACTTACTTTTAATTAAATTTCAGGACATAGTTTAAGATGGTGTAAAAATTCAAAGATTTTAAAATTCAAATATTTTTCAATGATTGAACTATATGATTTAAAAACAAACAAATAATTAAAAAAATATGCTTTTGCATGTAATTATCGTCAAATAAGTGAGATTTTTACAGATTGCAAATTGGTTTCGGTTCGAGTAAATTTTCCACACAAAAAATTTTCGTTAATATATATATATATATATATATATTAGCGAGCAAGATTCTAAATAGTNAAGGGAGTCTGCTTACTTACAGGTGGCGCTGCATGGCATTTGCAACATATATATATATATATATATATATACATATTCAGTCAGAGAAAACTTATGTCATATTACATAAAAATCAGATCAACAGATCAAAAGTTAAACATTGAGAAACAGAGTTTTAAAAACATTGAACTATCATCAGTATTATTATTATTAGATATGCTGCATAATTGCAAACAATGATACTTGTTGAAAAAATTAATTCAGAGTTAGACAATATTTAGTTTTATCTAAATTCAAACATTCCCAACTAATTTAAGAGACCTTTTGTTCAATTTAAATTCTTGATTTAATTTTTGTGTTTGATGTTTTGCTTTTGGTTTTTGTATTTTGTATCCTTCATCTCTTTCTGTATTTGTATTTTTCTTTTCCTTTGATCTCTGTGCAGCGTTAGGATAATGTCTGTATCGCCTTCTGCATTGGAAATAAAAAAAATTAAGAAAAAAAAACATTCCTAACTTTAAGGTTAATATTCCCAATAATAATATTTTAAGTTTAATCCAAAAACTAAAATTTGTTTTACTTTTCTGACATAAATTCGCATTTTGATATAAATAAGCTCAAATTATTTACTTTCGTGAGTTATTATGGCCGAAGAAGCTAAACTATCGAACTTCGCTTCATAACTATGATTTCAATGAAAAGAAACGTCAATTAAAATTTAAATAAATAATAAATTATTGATTTTTAATATAAATGTAAAACTTACTCTCAAATTCATTTAATATAATCTCACGTTTTACGTTCGTAATTGTGAATTTAATATTCCCAATTATTGAATGATTTGCTTAGTTTTTAATGCTAAAATATCCTGTTTTCTACATTTTTTGCATGAAATTCATAAAAAATTTATTATTACTATCACCAATTATGATTAAAAAAAGTTAAATAAATTTTTTCTCAACTCGAAATGCTTTCTTTCGTAAGTTATATACTAACTTATCAAGTACAATGCTAAAAAAAAACTACTAGACTGTAAGAAAATATTAAATTATTATTTTTAAATATGAAACTTACTGGCAAATTTTCTCCCTTCCGTCAACAGGTTGCTCAGGTTTTCTCTCTAAAATTCCTTTCATATTGCATTCCACAGTTGCTCTTCTGAAACATTCGAAATCGCAAGTGGCCAAGCCTAACGATACTAAAATTTAAAAAATATGAAGAATTAAATGCACGTATCATTTTTATGATTGTCACAAAAGCGCTGACTGCAAATGAGAAAAATTCGCCCAAAAAAATTGATAGTAATTATTGGAAAATTTGGTATAATTTTTGTATTTTCATAAATAGCACCGAAATCACTGACTTCAAATGAAAAAAATTTAACCTAAAAGTAGCTAATGTTATTGGTTTATAATGCCACTTAGACAAGCCAAGCTCTTCAACCCTTAGCCTTGAGAATGAAGTCAAGAAAGGTAATCTTCGTTTGACTAAAGAGCATCGCTAAAGTGAAAAAGAAACTCAGCCCAGAACTTTTCCTGATAAATTGTAGTACCACTCATTCGTGAGGCTTTTTCAACCATCCAACCAGTACTCATGGTACTGGTCTGTGACCGAGTACAGGACTTTCTATTCCACAGATTTTACAAGAAAATATATCGCATGTACTAAGTGCATCTTAGGTAATCTAGGGGAGAATTGCAATCCGGCCCCTTAGGTGCAAAGTCCAATGCTTCAACTACTGGGCATCAACGGACAAAAGTTGTTAGTAATTGTTAGAAATGCAAGTACCATATTTATTATTACCTTAGAAAGCGATGGATATAAATAAACAAAATTGAACCGAAAAGGAAAGAACGGCTAGAAATTAACTATCGTTACAAATGAAGCATTTCCCCCCCTAAAAATGTTAATTCATATGATGACAAATCCTTTCAAAGAACCACTTTTTTAGAGTATATTTTACATAAAAATTTATGAAAAGAAAAATTTCATGATATGTAACCCTAATCAGAGTATGCATTACATGATATTTTATCCTACTTAGAGTATACATTACATAAGAGTTAATGTAAAGATAAATTTCGTGATATTTTATCCTACTTAAGAGTATGTATTACAGAATTACATAAGAGTTAATGCAAAGATAAATTTTATAATATTCAATCCTACTTACGGCAGAGAACTATAGCGTTGAGGAACTTCATTCTGTATCAATTTCCTGAAACGTGTAAAAACAATCAAAATCGGAAAGTATTTAAGTAAATTTTCCTTGAGAAAATTACAGATGGTTCTAGCAACATCGCAATCAAAATTATTTTATTAATTTCTTATCAAGGTATCAAAAAAGAGTAAGAAAGAGAAAGAAATAATCTAAAAACGGTTATCTATGTACGACAGCCGTGAAAAGAGTGAAACAAATTATTTGTCACCTGCAATGTAATCTTTTAGCAAAAAAGTAATATTGACTAAACGCATAGTAATTTTATTGCTATTATTGCGACATTATTTTTTTTCTTTAATTATGGTATCTTGCAATGTTATTGACTCACTGATGTTTAACATTGCGTAATTTGTACACTGAGGAAAAATAGGGTCAGAACTATCAGAATATGTTTCTAGATCTAGAGTTCTATTTCACCATGTTTCTAGATCTATGAGATAACCGAAAAACTATTTAATTTTTACTGAAGTACTTTGATAATGCTTTTTGCAAAATTAACAATAATAATAGTCATATAATGCGGGATTAAATTTAGTAAGTGAAAAAATAGGTATACCTGTTATTTTACCATAATTTTGTAGTGAAAATTCTAGCAGTATAGGAATGTCCTGCAATATGCAAAAATTGCTGATATTAAAATTTATCATTTGTATGCAGTAATTAAAATTTATTGAAAAAGTTGGACCCGCAGGATACAGATAATAAATAAATTATACGTTGGAGCCTCGAAGCTGGGTCAAGCGAAGAAAAAAATTAATTAATTGTAAATACTGAGAATGGAACATGAAACAGCACTAAAATTGTGAGAATTAAGTAAAACGTAATAATAAAAGTCTGTTGCTGAAAATGAAAGGCCAAGCATTATTGACTATTTTAAAGACTTATTCTTGCAACATTTATAAATATTGAAGCTAATAAGACATTCTTGAGTGCGAAATTTTATATTTCAATATTGTGTTTACAAAGAGTACATAATGTAATTTAACAAAAACTAAGTTATATTTAAATGGTTTGGGCATTCATATTTTATGAATATCTTACAATTTAAAATGTATTGGATTTTGTGCAGTAATAATAAATATTAGTACGCTTAGAAAATTTTTACACTGTTAATACAAAGCATGGTCAAACTACCAGAATGTGGTAAAATTTACCACGTTTCTGTATCTGTGAGAAAGCTTCTTAATTTTTATTGAAGCGATTGAGTATTTTGAGGAAATAAGCAATAAAGCATGATTTTATAATATGTGACAAAATTTGATTTGATAAAATTCAGTAATATCATAATGCCTGTGTATAAAAACCTTTTTATTCGTTTAAATATTGTATAAGTTTTGAATTATTTCTTTTTTTCTAAATATATGGTAATAAGATCTTTGAATACTAGTATTTCCGGTAAACCGTTATCTTATGAACGGAAAAATGACACAATGAATGGGTTAAATAACGCATATTTTGATTTTATTATCCAGAATAATGGTATTCTTTTTACCAGAAACGTCATAATAGTGCAGTAATTTTACTAGGAATTTTTTCTCTGTTATTGAAAAATGCTCAAGAAATCAACCTTAATTGTTTCTGCTAATTTTAAAAAATTCAAATGTAGTTTGTTTTATGATTATGTAAGAAATGAATTACACAAAGTTATAATGAGTTTATTTAATCTTCTATCTGTATCTATTAATAAGAAAATTCTACCGTTTCTTGTTTAATAAAGCATATCGGTATATTTAAGTACATAAAAGTTCTCTATCTTGTAGATTTAAACTTATGTCCAAGACTTATATTGCTATAGCATTGCTATCTAAATATCATTTTTGAAAACCTGTAAATGAAAAGAAATCAAATGACAAATATTCCTAAAAATTATGCAAATTATTATATTGTAAACCGTTAGCAATGCATTATCAATTGAGAATGAAACATCTGATAAACTCCCGGTTTTTATTTCTATCTGGACACTTTCCTATTATATAGCGGTGCTACTTTTTACATCCTTATGTGACTTATACAAATGTAGGATCAACAGCTCGCTTGGGTGTTTTTTACTTTAAGTTTAAAAGTTAAATATTTTCGAACTAGTTACTTTTTTTATTCCATCGAATGCTGCAAAAAATTATGGATTAAATTACCGTAAAAAGTACCGACACTCAGTATATCGGTGCTTTTTAACGTAGTATCCATTTTTACTGAGACATGTTACGAAGCGAAAAATCTGATATACCATAATTTGTACAGTAATAATTACCGTAAATCACTGAATCACTCGAATTAAATAAATATTACAATAAAAATTACGGTATAATATTTCATGTTTAAAATGGATTTTGCAGATGATTCACTCACAGAGGCCGTACTTAATAATGTAATTTAGTCCGAAATTTTTTACAGGTGTACCTTTTTCTACATATCTTCATAATTTAAAGTTTCTAAGTCCAATAGTTATCGCGCAGCGATAACTATTGGACTTACGAAATTTAACGAAATTTAACGTGATTAACGAAATTTAACGTGAAGGTGAACAACCAATACAGCACTGGCTGTTTCTCGGTTTGTTTTTACTGTAACTCATAAAATTTTTCTCTTATGCTTTGTTTAATCTATTGCTGCATAATCATGAAAGTAATCTCATAATTTTTTTCCCAGCGTGAGCATCACAGGTATTGCATATTTCTATTATTGGTATCTTCATTTTTTTTAAAACTCATAGTTAACAAACTTTACTATTTTGACTTCTGAACAATTTAGCCACTAAAAAAGTAGACCGTAAAAACATTATCACTTTAAATTATTGGTCATTCAGGTTTGTATTATTATTGTTATTATATAATTATTAAACACTTTTCAAATACTTCAATCAATTAAACACTTTTGTAATGAAGGTTAGAAACACAATTAAATCACCATTTGACATTACGTACATTTATAACTCGTAATTTAGCAAAAATTTTCCGGGCTCTTGCCAAACCTCTGTCAGATAGCTTTCATGTTTTAAAATAAATTTTTTTTCAATTAAATAAGAAAAAGCGTATGCTGTTATTAGATTATTTCAACTATTTGGAGATGTGATTTTGCTGCAGAGAAGAGTATTGGACTGCCATACTCTAATGTACTTCTGATTGCAGCGTTTACAATCTGAATGAGGTGATAAGCATAGATTATTTCAGCTATTTGGAGATGTGATTTTGCTACAGAGTAGAGGATTTGGCTGCCATACTCTAATGTAGCGTTTACAATCTGAATAAGGTGATAAGTTCGGGACTACCATTGCGTGCTAGAGATGCAGCGAAGTGCATTATTTTTTTTCCAACATTTTTTTCTTCAGATATTCAAAACAGCAGAGGAGATAAATGTTTGCAGTCTAATAGATATCGAGAATCTTGAGGGAATTTACCTGTGGAATTTGTTCATTAAAATTTGTTAACAGAATTGTAGGCGAGAGACGTTGCTGGGGAAATTAATAGTTGCAGTTTTTCAGGATGAAATAGCTATTTTCCAGGTTTGGATGGTGGTGGGAGCATTTTGGAATTTAGTAGCGATCCTGTCAAAAGATTTTGCAGCGTAATAAATGTAAATATCATCGGTGAACACAAGAATTTAAAATCCGGAAGGAAGATTTTCGTGAATGTCTATATTTTATTTTATAACCATCGTTGAACAGCTGATCCAATTTTGGTTTTCGACTAATAATGTGCGACTCCGTAGTCTTGTAATTTTGAACCCAATCACCAACAGAGTCTTGGGAGAAATCGCTTACGTGGACGACTTTTTGATGGAACTAAGCAGCATTTGCGTTATATTGAATGGAAAACCATGGGTATCTCCCATGGTTAGCCTAACGGCAACGGGACTCTAACCCAAGATCTGTCTACCACTGAGGACATTTTTACGTCAGCACTGTGGTCGGTGTGAGCCGGGTGCGGAATTCGTATCTACCAGCCATCCCTGGGATTTGAACTCGGTTCACTTCATTGGAAAGCAAACGTTCTATCCCCTGAGCCACCACGGCTTGCGAATGTCTTTAAGATAAAACCTAAAAAGCAGGGGGAGAGGACACTGCCTTGATGGAGGCCCTGAGGTTGCTGGAAATATTTAGATCGAGTATAGCGCCAAGAGATGTTCTATTATAGAGAAAGAGTGCAAAAAGAACGTAGTTTTTCCAGAAAGGCAGATCGAGAGCAGTTCGATAAGGAGACCATCACTCCCTACACCGTATACGGACTATGCATTTCCTCCATTCTCGTGCTTCTAGTAGGTCATGGTAAAGGATTTGAGTGCGTTGTATTGCAGTCTCGAAAAGGGAGGAAGCCAGTGTGGGAGAGAGGCAGTTTTGTTGGAGACTAAAATTAAGGAGCCTTTGCAACAGCATACGTTCGTAGATTTTTGCAAAAGTGGAGGTAAAAGATATCGGGCTGGAATTTCCCAGGTTTTTTTCCCCCTAGTTTTAAGGTGGGAACTATTTTTGCTTTAGTTCATGAACTAGCGGGTAGAGCTGAATGTCGTTGACGTCTTGAATGTCGTTGACGAAATTAAGGAGCATATTTGGGTAACGAGAGTAAATGAATTTAACTAGGTTAGCCAGAATACGGTCTGGTCCGGGAGCCGTATTCTTTGTTCAATGTAGAGCTGCTGTTAGTTCCGTGGACGAGAAAGGGGAATCTCGCCAGATCTTGTAACTCTTCCGCTATGGAGCAAAAATTTTGTTCCAAAATGGCGGCATCTCTAATTCAGGGTCTCTACTCTTAAGTTCCCCTACGTAACCATTGATTAAATTCGATGTCCAATCTTTTTTTTAACTCTGAATTTTGCTATTAACTAATTTTTTGTTACCACCAATTTTTAAATTGTTTATAATTCATTTTTGTTCCTGAAGAGAATAATATGCTGCTCAATGAAAAACCTAAAATTTTTTTTTTAAATGTTTGTCTTCTTAAGTCTCTAAACTCCTTTCCCGCTACGGACGAGATAACTCGTCTTCGTCTTTCGCTGTGCTCTACTGTTGTGTTATTAAATATGGTTGTTGATTGCATTAGATTATAATCTTTTATAGCAAAATAATCAAGTCTTAAAGTAATTTACGTATTGTTTAAATTTTAGAGCTGTGGGAGGGACTCTAAGTGCAGAGGGTGGTATGCATTCGCTGCTGAAAGCAATAAGTTTTAAGCAATATGTTGTATGTACCTTAAACTACCCGAGTATTCAAAATATCAGTTAAAGGAAGAAAAGAAGATGCATATGTACGATTTATTATAAGATATGTATGATTTATTGAAAGAGACATGTGTATACGATTTTTTTTATTGCATAGAAAACTTGATTATGTATTCATTTTCAAATAATTTCAAAATTATACTCCGTTGCAAGTTAAGAAAAAACCATTATTTTTATGGAAAGAGCCTGTTTGCGTATAAGTGTATGTTAATTAGAAGCTAAGCTCAAAGCGCGAACGAATATCAGCATCGCCTACTCTTGAAACAAACTAGCACGCCCTTCGTTTTGTTTATAAACAGTAGCACAAACTGAATTTTTGTCCGACGAGTTTAACTTTTAAAAGATTTTTGATAGTTTTGAAAGTATAATCATGTAATTTGATAGCTAGATAAAACGGAACTATATGCAGTAGCGGATGATTACAAAAATCCTATACCGCAATGGTTTTTTCTTTTTTTTTTTTTTAACTTGCAACGAAGTATAGTCACAATATTCAGCAGCATTAGATGATAACAAAGTACAATAAATAAGTGCTTTTAAAAGAATATTACAATTTGTTAAACTAACAATGCGCAGTTTGAGGTTATAACTAACAGATACCCGCACAAACATATAATTTAAAGTGTTTTTATCTAGCGATAGAAAATATTGTGATATTGCTCGTGTATTCAGCTGTACCATCTGTAGACGTACTTTTGTAACCTTACTTTAAAGTTTATGAGAACGTAACTATTTTATTAAACAGAATGCTGTAAAATGTGCATTATTATTTCGTTTTTTTTTCAAGTGATTTTTTAATTGATCTTCATCGGAGCTTCTATGGAAAATCTGAAATTCAAGAAATTAACAGTACATTTTATGTAGATTTTAGTAGGTTTAATTGATGATTTTTGTAGAGGATTTTCAAGATCCATAAAATTATGGCAATATGGCGCATGTTCTTTTTTGGACTTCAGCATATTGTTCCATAAGATATTTAAATACTTCTTTCGTTCTATCAGTGCATTTTTCAAATTTCTCGTACATGCAATTTTTTACTCCGTCGATGTACCTGAAAAAAATTCTTATATTAACCTGCGAATTAAATTATAAAACAGATTAACAAAGTTACGAAATAGATGAGCTTTGACCTTTTATAAGTAAAAAATTCTTAACAAAAGGAAATAATATTGTCACTTATATGTATGTAAGTGACAATATTATTTCCCTTACATTTAGTTGACATGCAAAATAATGAAAACAATTTTTCTTATTTTTGCTCTAAGAATTTCGCCAAAGAGTTTTTTTCTTCAGTGTTCTATATTAATTAAAATGACATTTTTTACACGATTGTAAAAGAGAAGAGTTGAAAGGTTTCGTAGCGTGGATATGACATATATACTAATCAATTCTTCGTTTAAAATAAATTTTTAATAAATAAATAAATTTTTACTTAATGCCTAATGTCATTATAAAATTATTAATATAATTTTAATACTTTATGTCTTTTAATACTTTATGTCTAACGTCATTATAACATCATTAAAAATTATTAAATACTTTATGACTAGCATCATTATGACTAACATCATTATAACAAGATTAGTTATTTAATACTTTATGTCTAACGTTATTGTAACAACATTAATTATTTAATACTTTATGTCTAACGCCATTATAACATCATTAATGTTCCTTATTACAAGATGTTAAACGTAACTACCCACTGTAAAAAATATCGGATTAAATTACAACATAAAGTACTAGATTTTTTTTCACCACCTGTAAAATCCATTCTTATAGTAAAATATTATGCAGTTTTTTTACAGTAATATTTATTTGATTATAGTGATTTAACAGTAATTATTACTGTAAAAGTTGAAGCAAATCACATTTTTTTCCGCACTATGTTCCGTTACAAATGGATTTCACGGGAAAAAGTAACGGACCTTTGAATTGACTCTTTACTGTAATTGACTCTTTACTGTAATTTGTTCCAGGGTTTTTTACAGCGTACACCTTAAACTTTACGTCTGGAAATGCATTAAATTGTGTCTATTTCAAACTGTGAGGACTGCATTTCCCGGATCGTGCTTGCCCCCTATATTTTGGGGATCAGAAATCCGTATCCGCTGAAAAAAAGGCATGTTTATTCATTGAAAGTACGTTTTTATGTCTGATTTCGTAACTAAAATATCGTCGGTAAAAACTAATTAGCATATTTGACGTTACCCCCTCGGTCATCAGGCATTTGTCACCAGGCATAGAATTCCAGTTGAAATTTTACAATTTTAATTAAACGGAAAATAGTCAAAATTTCTATGGATTCAGGTTTCAGCTGTAAGTTAGATAGCTAAAAATTCGCTGGAATGTTAAATGACGAAATACTTTGACTCGCAATAATATGACGATAAATTCTGATTTTTAGCAATAAGAGAAGAATTGAAACTTGTAATATAACCCGGCACAGAGTTTAGACTGAAATTGTAGAGTTTTGTCTAGTTTTAAAGTGGACATAGTCTTAATTTGATCATAAATTTCAATCGACTATAATATCGTCATACATTTTGTGTGTAATAATCAAAAAATGATGTACTCTTATATAGTCATTCAGAGCAGAGTTCTTGCAATTGTATTTTAAGTACTCTAGATAGACTTGAAATGTCCAGAATTTTATTTGACGATTAACTCAATATTTTGCTGAAATGACGATAAATTATATTTTTAAAGATTAGAAAATGATTGAAGCTTGTAATGTTATCCAACAAATAATTCCTATTAAAATTGTAGACTTCTTGCTAATTATAAAGTGGTCGTAGTTTTGAATGGGGATAAATACCTATTGACTATAATATCGCGATAAATGGTTTAAATATCACTAAAAGAAATGGGAAGTTGTATAGCAATCCAGATCGTAGCTCTAGTTGGATTTAGAGAACTCTTGCTAGATTTAAAATGGTAGGAATTTCGATAGACGATGTATTCAATTTTGCTATAAAATGGCGATAAATGTTGCTTGCATGTTGCTAGTTAGTTGAAGAGTATTTGAAATTTTAATAGTAAGATTGCATTGTTACAGACACAAAAGCAAGTCAATGAAGATGTTGTAAAAATACACTGTCGAATTTAGATGCCTAGAGTGTCACATTTGAGGGCAAGTTACCTTAAAAGTGAAAAAAATGCCCTAAATTCTAAAGTTGCTGATTCAATTTCAGTAAGAAAAATTTGTGCAGAACTGATGTCGTAATACTTCCGCCATTTTCGGTGAAAAAGTCTCATAAAAAGTCAAGTTTGGCCTAAATGCGACGAAATTATGTGAAATCATGTCGCATTTAGGTACATTGAACTTAATTACTTTTGGTCAACGATGTTATTGTGCTGGTAAATAATTTTACCTACGAGAAAATATTGCTTCATCCAAGAGTTCAATAAAAAGCAAAATGATGTGATATATAACAAAAACCATGCATCGGCTTAAAAATCGTTAAAGATCATTGTTGAAGACTTCGTTTAAAAATATTAATCATCCTTTTTCATTGAAAAATTTTGAACGAAACTGAGAATTAAGTATGACAACCTTATGAAACAAAAAACATTTTCAGTATAAAACAAACAAAAAATGCAGTCATCATGTTTTCCAATTCTATGTTAAAGACAGTGGTAGAAGGAATCTCAAAAATATCTATTGATTTCCACTCATATGCCAAAGTTTTTGAAAAATAGTATTCAATTATTTATTTTATCAATAAAAAAACAATTAAATGAAAAAAAATATATGACTTAATTTTTAAAATTACAGAAATTATGTTATGCATAATTGGCATAACTAAATATTTATAACGAGTATTATATTTTTTTACCGATTAAAATTTTTGTAATATAATACAAAACTTTCAGAAATCTCAATCAGATTTTTAAGAATTCTGAAAGTTTATGCAATAAGCATTGAACAACTGATTACCTGCAAATAACCCTCATCATTTCAGCGGCATCACCAGGGCGTACATTTTTCAGTTCCTTTTGCATCTCATCGCTGCATGTTCCCATATTAGTCAAAGTTTCTAAACCACATTTTGGATCAGATTTAATAGCTATAATAAAAAAAATTATAGTTATTTAAAATTATTCTTAAATCATTGCCGTGTAAAATATTGATTTTAATATAAGTTAAAGTAAATTAACTCAACGAACAAACAAAAATTAATAAACACAAAGTTAAGTTTAATTAATAAACGTAATGTTTTTGGGACGTTACAGTTCAAAATAAACTAAATTGAAATATATATTTATTTAAAGAATTCAGTAAAACAAGTTGCAACAAAAATAATTTATATTTCTCACAAAAATTTAGTTGTATAAACTAAATTTATTTTTAATATATTCAAACATATAATTTAACAGCCTTCACTACTGAAATCAATCGGCATGAAACTTTTGAAACGTTCTGTCTATGCACTTTCGGATAAAATCTACATAGATTGTTCTGAGAAAGCAAATTAAGGTCAAATCTACCAAAATGTGATAAAATTTATCGTGGTTCTGACTCTATAGGAAAATCAAAAAGTTCGGTAATTTTTACCGGGACGCTTTGTTAATGATTTTAGTAAAATGAAAAATTAAATTTGGTTTCATAATGCGTGTTAAAATTTGGCAACTTTATCATGATATCTTTGAGCTTGATATAAAAACCATTTATTCTGTTGAATTTATTTTTCAGCTTGGCATTTCTTTACTAAATGTGCTGTAATAAGAAAAATGCGCTGTAATAAAATTTTAAAAACCGTTACCAAAAGAATGGTTTAAACCCTGTATATTTTGATTTTTATTACCAAAATTATTGTTTTTTTCCAGAATATTTTTCCCTGTGCATTAAAAAAATCTTAACAAGTCAACATAAATTTATGCTAATTTTAAGAAATTTAAATAAGTTATTTGTTTTAAGATTATATAGATTATGATGATCAACGATGGTCAATGTATCACAAAAAGATTATTAAGATAGTCAATGTATTACATAAAATTAAAAGGAGTTAAACATTTCTGAAAATTAAAATATAAACAGGATTTTATTTAATAAAAGCCTTTTATCGATATCTATTTCTACTTTGTGCCAAAGTTCAATTTTCACTTATAAAGTACATATAAAAGAATATTTAGGTGAATTAACAATTAGGTACCTCAACAGCAATATTTTACAGGTATTTTTTCCTTCGTGTATAAATAAACTGAATTTTATTAGAATGTTAGATTTCAAGTTATACTAAGTATGCTTATTGAAGAAAATCAAAAATATGCTTATTTAAGAAAATTCAGTGGAACAAAAAAAAACTACTAAAAATTTTTATATTTCTCACTGTGATTTATTAGTAGTAGTATTTTATTAAATGGTATTTAATTAGAATCCGGACTAAAAAATTTTAAAACTTAGTTTAACAGGTAACTATGTAAATTGTTTGCACTGAATAGCAGCATCGCGTTTACGCATTGCAACAAGTAAAGCATTTCTGAAATAGGATTATTATTATTATCCTAATTAATTATTATCATTATAAATTATTATCATTATCAATTATTAATTATTATATTATTAATTATTATATTATGATATTATTAATTATTATTAATTTTATCATCATTATTATTACATTGTTACTTATTATCATCATTATTAATTATTCATTATTTTCACCGGAATTTAGCATACATATTTTTCTTAAAATTATTTTTATCATCAAAGTATGTAATTAAATGAGCTCAATACTCGAAACCAATTAGTTTTATTTTCTTGAATAAAAACCTTAATATATTAAATGTTATAATATATTTTTTTTCCTTTTGCTTAAAAACTTCTTTGCCAATTTTATAAAACTTAAAACTGGTCTAGGTACTTCGCAGTATAGTCTTACCAAAACTGAAATAGGAAAATAAATGTAGACCTGATTAACTTGATTTTTAAAAAGTTTAATAATTTTTAAGCAAAAATCATTCGTAACTTAAAAAGTATTTCCGTTAAGTTAAAACATTATCACTGCATACAACTGAATCTCAAATATCCCCAAAATAATTTCAAAGCAATATCAAAAGTACTTTGAAAAGATATATCGAAAAAGATCAGTTTTAGCATTATTGATAAATGTTCCACCGGCTCCCCTTAAACATTTAAAATATTCGATTGGGAAGAAACTGAAAAAGTAATTCATTACATCATTTTAGTATTGTTTTAGCTTCTAGGAGGGTGCATAATACTTAATGTAAAAATAAAATCAGATCAGAAAAAAATCAGATTGGAAAACAAACTTTAGAAGTTTGAAAACTAAGTTTAGTTGGAAGTTTAAGTTTTTTCAAAAGATAAAATTAGGACATTTTTAAAAATATTATTATTTACCGTTATATGTTTCTGTTCCTTCCGTGCAGATATCGATAACAGTTATGTAAACTCTTTCAGCTACTTCAGCAAATCCTGTATTGCATTGGGCAGCGGCATCTCGTTCGCACATTGCAATAAGTAAATTATCTCTAAAGTGAGGAAGATATATTTTTAAAATTATTAATTAGGATCATTACTTGTCATTTATTATTTTTACCATTATATACCATTCTATTTTTCTTAAAATCATTTTTATCATCGAAGTAATTAAATGATCTTAATACTCGTAAATTATGATTTATTTATTTATTTGGAAAAAAGAAACTTCAGTATTTGAATATAAGTTTAGTTTTTCCTTTTGCTTAAAATTTCTTTGTCTATTTTATAAAATTTAAAACTGCTGAATTAAATGTATTTACGCGCAAAATTTTATTTTCATAATTATTTATTTTTTTTTTATTTCCTAGGATCTATGATGTTTATAAATATTGTTTCTTAGAATAAATAATTATTAAAAATTAAATATTTTATTTGCAATTTATAAAATTATCTGTATCATGTTAATTAATGTAATTAATCAAATCTGAGATTGAAATGAGTTTTTAAGAAAAAGTTGAGATGAAACAGTTTTAACAGTTTTAAGTTGAGATGAAACAGTTTTTAAGAAAATGAAATTAGAAAACAATTTTGAGAGTTTTACTTAAATTTTAATTAAATTTTATTCAAATTTAAATTAAATTAAATTTTAGGACGTAGTTTAAGATAGTGTAAAAATATAATTATTTTCCAATTCAAATATATTACAATGATTGAACTATATGAATAAAATAACAAAAAATTAATAAAATTTGCTTTTGCATGTAATTATCGTCAAATAATTGAGATTTATACCAATTANAAAGAGAGAGAGAGAGAGATAACTTACGTCATATTACATAAAAATCAGATCAACAGATTAAAACTTTAACATTGAGAAATATTGAGAATAGGAGAAAAGCATTGAACTTTCATCAGTATTATTATTATTAGGTAAGTTGCATAACTGCAAAAAATGATAATTGTTGAAAAAATAAATTCAGAGTTAGACAACATTAAGTTTTATCTAAAGTCAAACATTCCTAACTTTAAGGTTAATATTCCCAACAATAATATTTTTAGTTTAATGCAAAAAATAAAAATTTTCTTAGTTTCGTGACATAAATTCGCATTTTGATATAAATAAGCTCAAATTATTTACTTTTGTGAGTTATTATGTCCGAAGAAACTGAACTATCGAACTTCGCTTCATAACTATGGTTTCAATGGAAAAAAAAACGTTAATTAAAATTTAAGTAAATAATAAATTATTGGTTTTTAATATAAATGTAAAACATACTCTCAAATTCATTTAATATAATCTCAAGTATTACGTTCATAATTTTAAATTTCCCAATTATTGAAAGATTTTTTTTGTTTTTAATGCTAAAATATCATGTTTTCTACATTCTTTGCTTGAAATTCATAAAAGATTTAATATTACTGTCACCAACTATGATTAAAAAACGTTTGTTAAATTTTTTCTCAACTCGAAATGCTTTCTTTTGTAAGTTACTTACTAACTATTAAACTTAACTTCACAAGTTCAATGTTTAAAAAAAAACTATTAGACTGTAAGAAAGTATTGAATTATTATTTTTAAATATGTAACTTACTCGCAAATTTTCTCATTTGTGTCATCAGGTCGCTCAAGTTTTCTCTCTTTAACTCCTTTTACATTGCATTCAGCAACTGCTCTTCTGTAACATTCGAAATCGCAAGTAGCCAAGCCTAACGATACTAAAATTTAAAAAAATATGAAGAATTAAATGCACGTATAGTTTTTATGATCAACACAAAATTCGCCCAAAAAAATTGCTGGTAATTGTTGGAAAAGGGGTATAATTTTTATATTTTCATAAATAGCTCTGAAATCACTGACAAATGAAAAAATTTAACCTAAACGTTGTACACTTATAACACTAACGTATAATAACACTTAGTCAAGCCAAGATCTCCACCCATTAGCCTTGCGAATTAAGTCAAGAAAGAGCATCTTTCGTTTGACAAAAGAGCACCGCTAAGGTGAAAAAGACACTCAGCACGGAACTTTTCCGGATAGATTGTAGCACCACTCATGCGTGAGGCTTTTTCCACTATCTCCAGACTTCTGCGCACTCACGGTACTGATCTGCGACCGAATACAGGACTTTCTATTCCACAGATTTTACGAGATCATATAACGCATGTACTAGGTGTATCTTAGGGGATCTAGGAGAGTATTGCAATCCGGCCCCTTCTGTGCAAAGTCCGATGCTTCAACTACTGGGCTTCAACGGACAAAAGTTGCTAGTAGTTGTTAGAAATGCAAGTACCATATTTATTATTAGCTTAGAAAGCGACGGATATAAATAAACAAAATTGAGCCAAAAAGGTAAGAACGGCTAGAAATTAACTATAATTATAAATAAAATATTTTTTTTTCGCAAAAAATGTTAATTCAAATGATGACAAATCCTTCAAAGAACGGGTTGTTTAGTGTATATTTTACATAAAAATTAATGAAAAGAAAAATTCCTTGATATTTAACCCTAATCAGAGTATGCATTACAAAGGTTCATGATATTTAATCCTACTTAGAGTATGCATTACGTAAGAGTTATTGTAAAGATAAATTTCATGATATTTTATCATATTTAGAGTATGCATTACATAAGAGTCATTGTAAAGATAAATTTCATGATATTTTATCATACTTAAGAGTATGTATTACTGCATTACGTAAGAGTTAATGCAAAGATGAATTCTATAATATTTAATCCTACTTACGGCAGAGAACGATAGCGCTGAAGAACTTCATTCTGTAACAATTTCTTGTAACGTGTAAAATCAATCAAAATTCGAAAGTATTTAAGCAAATTTCACGTGAGAAAATTACAGATGGTTCTAGCAACATTACAATCAAAATTATTTTATTAAGTTCTTATCAAGGTATCGAAAAAGAGTAAGAAAGAGAGAAAAAATAATCTGAAAAAGATTATCTTTATACAACTGCCGTGAAAAGAAAGAAACAAATTATTTGTCACCTACAATGCAATCAATCAACAAAAAAATAATACTCGTATTGACTAAACGTATAGTAATTTTATTGCTTTTATTGCGGGATTATTTTTTTTTCTTGAGGTATTGTATCCTGCAATGCTATTGACTCGCTGATGTTTAACTTTGTTTAAAATGTACACTGAGAAAAAGTATGATCAAAACTACCAGAATATGGTAACTTTTACCGTGTTTCTAGGTCTATGAGAATACCAAAAAACTCGCTTATTTTTACCGAAGTGCTTTGATATTGATTTTTGTAAAATTAACAATAATAATAGCCTTATAACACGTGATGGAATTTAGTAACTGAAAAAAAAGTTATTCCGGTTATTTTACAATACTTTTAGAGTGAAATTTCTATTAGTGTAGGAATGTCCTGCAATAATGCAAAAAATGCTGAAATTAAAACGTATCATTTTTACGCAATAATTAAAAGTTATTAATTTCAATAAATTGATTTTTTTTAATTTTTTTTTATTGCATTTAAGATTCTTTTTTTTAAATTGCAAATTTCTAAATAAAAATCTTATTTTTTGCCATTATTAAAGCTCTGTACATAGGATGATAAATAAAAGAAAAATTACTGGAAAGTAACTCAACTAATAGCAATGGCATTTTCGTAAAAATAGTTCAATTTCCTCATAGATTTTGCAAATGCCATAAAAAAGGAGATGCTAGACATTCTTGCGACATTATTCGACCAACTACTCGTCCTTAGACCTCAGATAGAGCACCACACATTGTAACCCACAGGATACAGATAATAAGTAATTATAAGTTGGGGCCCCGTATCTGGGTCAAACGAAAAAAAAAACATTGGCAGCACTAAAATTGTGAGAATTAAGTAAAATATAATAATAAAAATCAGTTGCTGAAAGTGAAAGGTCAAGCATTATTGACTATTTTAAAAACTTATTCTTGCAACATTTATGAATATTGAAGCTAGTAAGACATTCTTGAGTGCGAAATGTTATATTTAAATATTGTGTTTACAAAGAGTACTTAATGTTATTTAATGAAAGCTAAGTTATGTTTAAAAGGTTTGGGCATTCATATCTTAAGAATATCTCACAATTTAAAATATATTGGTATTTGTGCAAAAATAATAAATTTTTACAATGAAATTTTTTAAATTGATAGAACATTTTAACAATGTGAGAAAAAATGCATGGTCAAAATACCAGAATGTGGTAAAATTTACAGCGTTTCTGGATCTGTGAGAAAACTTCGTAATTTTTCCGGAAGCGATTGAGTTTTTATTTCGATGAAATAACAATAAAGTATAGTTTTATAATTTGTGACAAAATTTGATAAAAGTGGTAAAATTCAAAAATATCATGATGCCTGTGTATGGCATAAAAACCTTTTATTCGGTTACATATTTTTTTTAGTTTCGTATTTTTTTACTAAACATAAGAACTTTAAAAACTAGTATTTCCGGTAAACCGTTAACATATGAACGGAGAAGTTACACAATGAATGGTTTAAATACCACATATTTTGATATTATTTGATTTTATAAGAATTATGGTATTTTTTTCTCAGAAATGTCATTTCAGTGCAGTAATTTTCATGGAATTTTTTGCCGTCTATGAAAAAAATCTTAAGAAATTACCCTTAATTGTTTCTGCAAATTTTAAAATTTTCAAATGTGTTCAAATGTCCTTAATTGTTTTTCATGATTATGTGATAATGAATTGCACGAAGTTAAAATGAGTAAATGCTTCTGAAAAATGTAGTAAAAAAGAATATTTTATCTTTATTTTCTTATCTCTATCTATATTTACTAACACCCGGTCTAACACCCACCTAACATCTGGTAAACACCCGGTGGTTATTTCCATCAGTACACTTTCCTATTATATAATTGGGCTAATTTTTACATTCTTATGTGACTTATACAAATGTAGGATTAACAGCGTTGGTATCTTTTACTTTAAGTTTAAAAGTGAAATATTCTCGAACTGGGTATGCTTTAGAGCGTTGGAAGCGAAACTCCTCACTTTAACTTCACACAACAACTTCCCTTCTAAGCAGATCGACTGTTTTTTGCGCTCTACACATCGACAACAGCGCCACCTCACTGCTCCCATATCCTATCTGCACATGCCCGCCCTTCTGTGAGTTTCAAGGTTAAGTTGCCACTATTTAATTTACAACCCTCGTATTAAATAAATAATCCCGAGAAACTGAATCGGCAAGATATTACCTATTAAAAACTTCAGAAACTTAAAAAATATACTAATTGGTAACTCCAGTCGACATGTTTTCAGCGCTGAAAAACAAGTGCCCGTTTTCATAACTTCTCAGGCGTGAATGAGGAAAGTGATTTAAAATGTAAAAAATAAAGCTGCCTGCAAAAAATGGAATTATTTTTCCATTTTTCATTGACACCATTACGTTTTATATTTTCAATTACTTTTGTTTCTCTTCATTCACGTCTAGCAAGTTTTGAAAATGGGCACCAGTATTTGAGTACTTGAAACACGTCGATTGTTGTCTTCAATTTGCATATTTTCGAAACGTATGAAGATTTTAATGAAGTAATATTACTCATCTGGTGAGAGTCAAAATTTCAGCTCTATTAGTTAGTACAAGCAACACGCATTGATGAAAAATTTTCATGCTTAATTCCATATTGTTCCTTAGTACATGCTGCATTTTTCAAAAAGACTTCAGCTATTTTGATACGTTGTTACACAGTAGTAACTCTAGTCTTAAATAAGAGTAACTTTGCGCGGCTTTTTTTTTCTAGTCTGGAAGAAAATCACATTGATTATATACTGAGTGATTTGATATTTTGAAATGTTTTACTTGATCAGCTTTAAACTTCATCAATGCATCTTGGTATTTTTCTGCAGAAAAGTGTCTTGAACATAAACTGTATGACTTGGTATTCAAAAATAGTTTGTATGTCAAGTACAATAGAGATGAATAATCTCACTGAAAATAAAGTTTTTAACTTGATATTTAAAAGAAGTTCGCTGCAAGCGCTTTAATAAATGTTTGTATTTTGCCTTGAATATAAATTTCATAACGTGATATTCAATTTCAAGTAGTACTTGGTAGAAAAATTACATTAAATATATACACTGAACAACTACATAATTACATTGAATATACCATGTGGCTTATTATTTAAAAGCAGTTTACTTAATACACTTAAATAAACTTCAATAAAACTATCTTTAATTTTTTATTACTATATGAATGTGAATTGGTTTTAATATTATCGAATTTTTGTTGCTTACAGTAGTAGTCTCCATTGGCACAAAATTTTCAAACAATGAATATGATTTTAAAACAATTAGCATTGTATTGCAAAATGTTATCTATCTATTTTTAGCAGTTTATAGAATTTACTAATATTTTCAAAGATTCTAAATTCATACACTATACAAATTTCATTTTCTTTCTTTTATATTAAATTAGTATGGCTTTTCCTTATTCTCTATCATGGAAATTGAAACCTGTTGAAAGTCAGTATTTTATTCTATTGCTGGGTTAGCATTACTATACAAAAAATCTCTTTTTATCAATACCTGAAACACATAATAAAAACAATGCTATTTTAAGATTTAAAAATATCCTGACAAAATATTATTGATAGAAAATACATTTCGGATAATTTTATTGAAGATGTATATTAAAATTACAAATAATTTCCACAAATAGTAATTCCGTGCAGAACAAGTGTTGGATTTTCAGCTTGAATTATGGGATAAGGTTACATGACTTTTTCTGGAGTTCTATAGATGAAGCAAGAAGAGAGTTGAATGCTTTCTTTGTTTGATCACCGCATTTTTCGAAATTTTTTGTTGCGCAATCTTTTATTGAGTCAATGTATCTGAAAATATACGAGAGTAACATAAGTGCTAATATAGTGATACATTAATGTACCGATTAGCATAAAAAATTAATATAAGTGGGAAAAAAACTTGATAGTTGGTGCAGCAGTAGGTTGATTTATGAAAAAAGTAAGTCCGAAATTTCAATTTTGCTAAAAATATATTTCTCAACAATATACACCGAAGACCCATTACATTATAACCACCCTGCTAGTAACAAGTAGGACCATCTTTAGCCCTCAAAACAGCTAGCACCCGCCGTGGCACTGATTCCACAAGGTGCTGATAGGTAGTCTGAGTTATCTGGTACCAAGCGCTCACCAACTGCTCCTGCAATTCCCTTACATTGCGAGGGGTTAGCGTGGCAGCACGAATTTGGTTTTCCAAGTAGGACCACAAATGCTCTATTGGATTAAGATCAGGTGAATTTGGGGGCCAAGACATGACTTGAAAGTCACTGGAATGTTCCTCGA